CAGATCGATGAGATTCTCCGCTTCGCAGCGATACAGCAGCACCAGCAATAAGATAGTACTGAAGAAGCAGGCAGTAGGCTCGAGCTGATCCGTCCAAATAGGACATCTGTGATGAAGATGAACCTCCGTCAGATTATATCCTTTTGATCAGGATCGCAGATCATATCAATTTCCTGGTGCAAATAAACGAATCTTTCCAATCCTTCTATACCAGCTCCAGTAGCCGACATTTGAACCTTCTGTGGCGTAGAAGATAGTATGTACTTTGACTATGATCGACTGACTCTTAATCCGGCCTCGCAACTGTCTTTACTGAATCTGCCGGCTGAGATAAATGATCTGCTTTCCATCGACTTCTATTCTTCCACTACGGTCCATCCCCCTGAATACCATTTCTAGACAGGCTGTGAAAAGTTCCAGAGAAATTGCATCTGCTTATTTCACGTCTTTCTGGAACAGGAACCATAGGGCTACGTTGTGCATCCAGAATGAGCTTGCTTTGGCAGATTATTGAACCATACATCAGTACTTTACTCTGACTGCGAGCTTAATGCTGCGTAGAGCTCGAATGATTCTTCTTTTCGTAGTGTACGAAGGCAATACACAGTAGCAATCTGTACTCTTATTTTCTGAACAGTGAAAGTGAACAATGATCTATTGAAAAATTTCAATAAAATTCATATATAGTGCAACAGCTGACCGACAGGCTCTACTCAGTCGAAAGACCTCTTATTCAATACCTTGAACAACGGTTATCACAGGAAGGTTGCAACGCACCAACTGAAAAATGACGCGTTAGTACTCAATGCAACTGAAAACCAAGTAAGCAGCCAAAAATTTATCAACTAACTTGTACGGAATATTTCCATTCCATAAAAATATCTTAAACGGCTCATTTACCATTTGGTGACACATCTGGTACGCGATAACGCTGCTGTAGGACCACCAAGTGTATGAACTAAAAACTGAAGGACACTATTTGCAAGGAGGATAATTTTCTTGCTCACTGATGTTTATGTGTGATTCATTTGAGAGATTCTCCTCACACATTTCTCTATAACCTTCCTCTTGCGGATAAGTAGCTAGAAAGGGAAAACCGAACAACCTGAAATAAATAGGAGCTGAACGCAGATTTTCCATTGTTAAATAATCTCCTCTACTTAAAAGGGTACTTCAGGTACAATAACCATCGACCGACAAGCGACAAAGAATCATTTAAGACGAGTGGTACATGACAAAAGAACGAAAGATATGATTATATGCCATCTGTCTGTATGAAAAAATGCAATGAAATCAGTAAAATTAACGACGATGGCAAAAAGGTTTATTAGACTCGACAACCCTCGACACTGACAACAGGGGAAAATACACTAGCAATAATGGAGCATAGTCGATCGTCATTTCACTCAGTAACAATTCACTTCTCTTCAATTCATGATGACTCGCTTCAGAGCAACGTAACTGCACTTCGTTGACACATCGTGAAAGCCGATCGGGCCACGTTCGCAATCGGCACACGTCAGATACCTC